ATAATATTTTAAAGCCCAGGTTACATACATAGTGTTACATACATAGTATTGTCTCTATAAATTATAAGATAAGCTATAATAAAGTATAACCATAGTCGTCATTGGCATTTCGACCAAAATACCAAATAAACATTACTTTGCTATAAACGAAAATAAAATTATAATGGTTTTCAGTGTTGACTAAATTGTCAAAATTCAATAGCTTGATAGATTCACATCACAAAATATTTTTTTATAGTGTATACTATATAATATAATGAAAAACAAAAAATAATTAAATAATAAAAAGCTAATGGGGAGGGAGGATTTTACTCCCACGTCCCCCCCTTGTATACGTCACTGTTTACACATAGAATTTTAGAAAAAGATTCATTTTGCCTCAGTTTACCATGTTTCATGCAACAACGAAACGCTTTATAGGATTACAATCGTATTCCCTTTTTGTTTTTCATTTTGCTTTGTTGGATACATTACAGCAATGCAATTACAAATTACAATACATAAATTAGGGCTTTCGGTTTGGCACGTGAGTCGATATACACATGTAAACGTATATCCGTTCTTTGTACGATAAAATGTGTTAGTATCCGTACATTCGATTATACGTGTTTTAGAAGTTCAAGATTACGAGAATTCAAGACAATTTAAAGTGAAGACTTTTGTTAGTGAATAATAACGAAATAAATATATTAGGTTTCTCAACAGTTCGTAATTTACAAGCTTTATGTAGTTTGAACACGATGGTACTTTCAAAAGTTTGCCAAAATTATTTGATCAACTCTTTTCTATTCATGATATGCTAAATAACAATTATATCTCACTTGTTTATTTTTTACTGCCATCAAAGTTAATTAATTGTTATACCGATACATTTCAACATTTAGGAGAAGAACGTAGAAAAAAAATCACATGTAATTCAATCCAGTTCGAATATATGAAGATTTTGAAAAAGCTATGCGTACTACTGCAAATTTTGTCTTGCCTTTTATTCAAGTAAAAGGGTGTAAATTCCACTTAGAACAAAGTTGGCACAGAGAGAAAAAAAATGGAAGAATTAGAAACTAAAAAAATTATTCAAATTTAATTTTTTTCTCAAACATGCTTATTGTAAAAATGTATTTATAGATTGTAAGTTTCTAATAAAAAAAAATAAATAATTTGTAAGACAACTGTCGTTCAAATTTTTAATTACTTCAATATAGACTCATAAGTTATAATAAATAAGTTAATATAAAGGAAAATATTGATTGCAATTGAGCAATATACATTTTAATTTAAAAATACCCGGGACGCAATTTACATATACCCAAGAAAATACTCGGTACATAATCTACATCAAAAAGGTACAATGGGACGCAACTTACAGTTACCCTAGAAAAGTCCAACCACCAGTGAAGCAATAGGATAAGAAAACCTTGAAACAACCTCTCTTAAAGAGAAAATATTTTTACTACCTATATAAAATGAAAAATTAAATTATTTGTATATTCACGGAAAGGCTAAAAGTCACGTTGCTGAAGGTGATTGTGTTAGGTAAAAATATATAAAATTATAAAAATATAAAAAATAATTATACATTATCGTAGCATTTTTATGAATTATTATCTACAAGACTAATATATGATTTAGTCATACATATATTTCTCTATAAAAAAACCGTTCTAAAAAAATCAATATATTTTTATATTTTTTATCGTTACATATTATATTTTATATAACTACGATTTAAAATTGAACAACCCTAATTATGTTTAAGTTTACATTATGTACTCCGTTGGTCCGGTCAGAATTAGACCTTAAAACTAATTATAATTCAGAAAATACATTACTACGCTAAGTATAATACATTTTTGTTTCTAAACCGTTTTGGATATTGTCATTCGTCATTTTAAATACGAATTGTATGGTGCTTTCTAAGTTCTAACATTAATTTATTACTTAATTTGCAATTGCATTACGCAAATATTTGTTAGTTACCGACTAAAAGTTAAATCAGGTGTTCTATAAAAAATATTTTGGGGCATTCAGTGGAATGCCAGAAATAGGTAGGAAAATAAAGTTTTTTCAAATGTCTATACAAGTCAAAATGTCAAACAAAAAATGTTTGAGTGTAAGATAGAATATTTCATGCAGTTCAAAATGCCTCGATGCATTAAATAAATTTAAAAATCGATAAAATAATAAACATATTTTGTTTACAGTTCACTATTGTCAACTTCATACTTTACCTAACATAAGGGTTCTATAAAGATCATAAGATTTGTGTAGATTTCTTATGCATGGTTTCAAATTTCATTAAAATTCAACGCATTACGAGAACAAGGGATTTTATATATTTCTATAGAACGTCTAATAGACATTGTCTATATTCAACAATATAGTCGGTAATGCTAGTGTAGACGAATTTACATTTATTTAGCCCGTACTCACAATAATAATACTAATATAATTATAATAATATGCAGAGACGTACTTATACCGTTTCCCAAAACGTTTTATCGCAACGGTGTTGTTTGAGTACGACGTGTGGACGTCATCTTATATAAAGTACATACTTTATGTATGTAAAATAGGTATGTACGTGCTTTGGGATTAATTTGAAGGTCTCCGGGTAAAATAGGTTAAGACAAAATTGACAACTTTTCAGGTTAGAGAAATTATATAATATTATAAGCTTTATGTATGTTTTAATACATTAATGCATTAATGAAAAATAGATACACCCAAACCGCTTTCAACGAAATATGTATAGACCACTATATTTTTAAATTTACTACTCCTTTATCCTGTTGTTCCCAAGTTAAAATTAACTTATCCCTTTAGAAATCGATTTTAACAGTTGTCAAACAGGAATAACTACACTTGTCTCATTTTACTCAAATACTTTTGTTCTCATCTCAGATTACTTCTACACTGCATACTAAACTTCATATTGTTGATGAAAATAAGATATCTCGTTTTATCCATTTATAAAGAATGAGAACTTCAGTTCATATTATAAAATATAACCCAATTTTTATTAAAAATTGACTAAACCCCTTTTATCCGGATACCATCCAATTACGTAGCGAATAAAAAAGAATAGAAAGGCGAAACTTCTAGGTCGGGTAAATTATATTCTTGTATTGATCTTTTAAACTCGAAACAAATAAACTATTGCTCTTTAACGATTTTGAGTGAAAGAGGTCAGATGTATCATTTTATATATCTACTCTTAAAGATGATTAATATAGAAGAACCAAATTTTTTGCTAACTTCATTGTTCTAACATTTGCAAAAAAAAGCATGTCAAATTAGAGAAAATCAAAAATTTTAAATTTCTAAAATCAGTGCAATCTTAATCAAAATATTTCGAAACTACGTATTGTATTTAATTAAATAACTAATATTTCTTAATGGAAATTCGTTGGAATATCCGATTTCATCAAAACTTAATTTTGAAAAGCTTATAAAACTTTTTTGTAACTTTTCAGTTAATTTTTTTCATTTTTGGTTACAAAGAAAATCTTAAAAAAAATCTTATATCCAATTTTCAATACTCAAGCATCAAAATTCAAAAATTTATGAATTTTTAACTACAAAAATATAGCGGATGCTCGTGATTGTACCGTTCTGTCAAAATATATCATTCAAATGGTTATACACATATTACACAAGTTCATTCATTTTTTACTAATCAATATTATGTATATACCAGGAACTTTGTATGACGTTTATAATTTTCTAACGATAATCTTTCATGATTGTGACTATTGGAGCCATCCTTTTAATCAAAATCGTGAACGCAGACACAAGAATTGAAATAAGCACCCGTGACGTACGGTGTAAAACCAATAAATTCGTCGTTTCATTTGGAATCTAAAAAAAAAAAAAAAATAATAGGCGACTGCAAATGCAGTAGTCAACGTAACAATCTAATTTCTCAACGCGAAGCGACTAAGATTATTATAATATCTGTACCAGAAACAAGCACATGTACAACAGCAGAGGCGACGTTGTTACGTAATAACAATAATAATATAATTCACGTAGAACTCAATAGAATCCTATCGACCGGGAGTAGACACGAGTATCGCGGTAGGTATCTGCGAACGGTTCGCTCAAACGTCAATTGTTGTATTAACGTATACAACGCGAACACGAGTGTTTGAAGATAACGTTTTCGAGTGTTGTCTCCCTCCCTCCCTCTCTCTCTCTCTCTCTCTCTCTCTCTCTCTCTCTCTCTCTGTTTCGAAATAACGTACAAAACCGCGTATTATAACTAATCCGAACTGCCGAGAGTTGGTGATTTAAATCTATACGCGTTAATGGTTTTCTCAATGGATGTGCATCACAAAGCCCCGCGATCGCTGAAGGTATAAACCGTACTTGGCAATGGACATTTATTCGAAAACCACTCGGTTAGACGCGTGATAAAACGAACTTTTGACGTACGTTTTTCCCGTGTCACATTGCAGAACCACTCGATTAAACGTGTGTACGAACAAAGGCAAATTAAAAAAAAAAAAAAAACGTGTGTACACAATGTGTACAAGGTTTGCCATATAGGTCCGAATGAAAAATATCAATTACATAAAACGCGTCCGTCGGAGGTGGCGTCGATTTCGTCGGAACGAAATAAATCACACGATGGAACGGTAATACCTCCGTCGTACAACAGCGATAAACGTTGCAATAGCAACTATGACGTTGTATTTAAACGTCGACTCGGTCTTTGAAAAAAGTCGTTTTTAAATGAGTTGCGTCTGAAGAGAAATGAACAATTACATTCAATTGGTAAGTATATTTTTACATTCAATAGCACATCAATTACTGCGATTTACATACGAGGACGAAAAATATTATTGAGTAAAAATAATAGTACTACAAAAAAAAAAAAGTTTATAAAACGTGACTGTTGATCATCAGATATCAAAATAATAATAATAATAATAAAAATAATAATAATAATAATAATAGTAATAATAATAATAATAATAATTTAAATATAAATATAGGATAATCAGTGTACAATGTTAAATTTTTAAAACGAAATGTCAATATGAAAATATCGTTTTCTACATTTGTGTTGTTTTATCATTTCTGTTTAATTGACAGTCAAAATATTGAACGGTGTACAATGCATTTGACTAGAAATTCAACAGAATCCTTTTGCATGATTTAACGTGTCTTGCGGTTGAAAATAATAATTCCATATTGCAGCCATGATCTCGAATAAGCCTATAAACAATTAATTACAATATTATTGATCGTTATGTTTATCGTACTGAATATGTTAATAATTGGTAACAATAAATGAATAATTTTGCTAATCGTCCAAGACCAACAAAAGTATTGTTATTAAATTATAAATCCGTATTGCTCTGAACATAAACACCCAACGGGATTCCGATGGACATTAGCGTTGATTTTCGAAAATGAAATGACGTTCAGAGCGACATTTTTTCACCGGGAACACGCATAGCGATATTAGTTACATTACGACGAATTTAATAATTCGAGCGTATAATGTTTCAATCGTAAATTTATCGTCACGCTCAATGTTTGGAGTGCATTTCAATAATATACGTACAGGTGTACGCGTTCCTCGATAGCGATGAAACCGCAAAATATAATTATTAATGATTTATTTAATTGGTTTGGATCGAAAAACGGTTTTTCGGACGGATAAAAAACAATGTGTGTAGTATATGTATACAACGCATTATCAAAAGTTACACAAGTTGAGCTAACAAATTGAACGTGATTATTATAATTTTTTCTATTTCAGCTTTCATAATAAATTCCGTGGCAATCAACAAATACTTGTTCCGTTATCTACTGCGATAAAATTTAATTAAATAATAATAGTGATTAATTTTTTTTTCCTTTCCGACGACGATTAGAAAATGTATACCGCGCACAATCTATGCGAATTCATCCGAATAGCGATAAAGCGCGTGCGGCGCGTAGTAATAAATTGTAACAATCATTATTTGGTATCGAGATCGGTTAACGCGGCGACGGTCGACGTTGTTGGCGCAAAATCGGTGCCGAAAAAAACAAATTTATTGTTTTTTTTGATTGGTACTCCAATGCGAAAAATAAATAAGCAGTCTATCGAAAGGAATCGGATAGATCAACACGTCCCGCTGAACCTTTTAGAGTTACAAACGGTTTTCCGACTGGACCGTGTTTTGAAAACGGTGTTCTGGTGGCCCGGGAGACGGATCCCGACCGATGGAACGGGGGTAGTAGGATAATTTTTTAAATCCGAGCCCTTCGAAGTGCGCTCCACCCGTTTGTTTAAGAAAAAACGCTACCCGGCCTGTACCACGGTCTAAAGTATATCTGACTAACATTAAATTGCATATATTTTAAACGCGCGGCTGGTACGTCTAAATGAAAAGAAGCGAATTTTTATTTCATTTTTTCCGACAACCTGTAGACCACCCCTTTTGCGTGTCCCGACGGTGTACATAGTGTATAGTCGGATCGCATCAAGCCCGCGGATCGTAACGCACGCGGGATTCGACCGGTCTGGCCCGGGGACGACTGCGGATAGAAAGAACGAACGCGCGTCTTAACGACAAAATTGGAACGCAAGTAATAAATACTGACAAGCCGAACGCTCTGCCAACAATGCATTGTCCCTTCGACGATAATACATTTTATTGCACGCGACTATGCTCCAACCATCAACATAACAAAAATATTAATAAAGATGATTTAAATGTTTTACGGGTGTAACACATCGAAATTCGGCACGCGCAGACGGGGATGGCAGCAGTGCGCCAGGATGACTACGATGATAGGTATTGCGCGAACGTTTTCCAAGCCGACTCGGAACGTATTATTACGACTGCACTTTCTATCCGTCTGCATACCGCAGCCCTGTTGGCCTCTCGTTTTCACGCGAAGATTTCAGTACGCGATCGAAGGACAACGGATACGATGAGGTTTAAATAGAAATAAAAACGAGTACCAGTATATTTGTTTGAAATGCAGATACATGGTAACATTAGTTAGGGAACCCTATCGTGCACGCGCCCAACACGTTCTTGACCGATTTTTATATTTTTAACAGCGGTTCACATTTGTCACGACATCATTATTTGGCCCTCATATGATCAAAAGTGATTAAAAAACGTTGTTAAACGTTTTCAGAACGATATACTCGTAATCGCGGAATTTGAGCGCCGCGTCATTTTCGACACAAGTAAATTCTATTTTCTAAGATATTGTCTCCACCTCGTCTTTGTACGATAAGTTTTAAGGGCGGACCGATTTAGGAGTCTAATATACCCCTTCCCTCGTTTGTCCTACTTTTTCCCTAGAGTGTTTTATTTATTTTTTTTTTATTTTTTTTTTTGTCACTTTTTGAACACTTATTTTCTCTATCGACTCTTCGGTTTTCGAAAACGATTATTCCTGCACAATTATAAATTCGTGATATTTTTTGCAAAATAATACCATTTTTAGCATTTATTTTTATTTTTATTACGTTTCAAGTAACAAAGTATTAAAAATGACAATATTCCTTATGTTTTCATATTTTTTGTCAACCTATATTCATGAAAGCTTATTCGCCATAAAAAATATAATTAAATCGAAGGAAAAAAAGGTTTTGACCAACGAAACAATTGCTGCTTGTGAAACCACTGAGAATGACTAAAGTTTAATAAAAATAAAGTAATAAATCTGTAATTTTGTTTATAGTCTTAGAAAATATAATTTTCTTTGGGCACGTAAACGATTTTCAAAACCTGAAAAGGAAAAATTTGGCACTTGAACCTAAAAATGTTCGCCACCCCTGGACTACATGTTATTATCAGTTTTACATTCTGAAGCAAAACAATCTGTTGATTATTCGTGTGTGTTAAAAATTCAAATAAGCGGAGTAGAATGGAGGGGATAAAAAATGTTCGTGTACCTCCAATCAATGTACATATTACAGCTATAATAACTTACGATCGACTTATACCACGAAAATCGATTTTCATGGATCAAAACTTTCGGGATACAAATTTAAAAACATCGAGTGTTCCGTGCGAATTGGGATTGGTGTGGTACAAGAATAACTTTTTCGAAAACATCAGGACCGAGAGAGAAAAAACTAATAACGTTAAGAAACCCGTCGTCCAACCATCTTCGCGCGTTGAACGCGATAATATCATCGAAACAATACCCTGCGAAACGAACAACGTAGGAATAACGTTGTTTTCGCACTCGATCGGTGCACACCGAGTGGAGCGGACTCCTATAGCGTCGCGCGTTAAACAAGCGCAAACCGTGTTAATAGGTGTTCGTTCGAAAACGAACGCTGCGAGCGAACCATTGTCGATGTGACCCCATAGTTCGGATATGGCCCTGACCTCGGTCGCCACCGGTCCCTTTGAGAAATCGTAAGAATATTTCGCGCGCCATCCCTGCGGTACCGGACCGATACGTCGGCGGTAGGTACGAACCGAAACAGGTGTATTACCGGTACAATACCGTTTCGACGCGTAATGGTCCGTTGTACGTTGCGTGTGCTGCGGGTGAAAATGGCAACGCACGGCAACAACAATGCGCGTCGACGGTCGTTCTCGCGACCAGAAGGGTTTTTCGCACAATATACGGTACGACGTCATACCGTACACGGCGAACACCCCTTTGTGTTGCATGTGTTTAGCGGTGGGTGTGCGCGGGCAGGACCGTACAGGATACAAATCCACCGCCGGTCGCCGTTCGATTCGCGTTCACACTCCCGCACTCGCCGAACACCCTTTCGCGTGACGTCCGCGGCCAAAACCGCACATTTTCAGACTCTTACTTGTTTGCACTTTATTTATATGTATGTATCCACGTACGCACCTAGTCTCCCGGGAACGGCCGGGACGTCCAAGGCCAACAGTGGAAAACGAATACGACGCAGCCGTGCGCACGGTAATAGTAATAAATCGTCGGCAACGTCTCCCGGACGGACGCGTTGACGGAAAAATCGAGAAGCAAAAAAAAAAAAAATCGATTCGGTTTCTACGTGTTAGGAAAAAAAAAAACGTGAAATAATTATTACTACGTGTCGGTGGTATTGCACTGTCGACGTGGAAATATCGAATCCGAAACTAATTCGGTGTCGACGACAGTGCTCTAACCAGACCTGTTGGATTTGTTTTTCGAAAAAAATAATCGCACGGTTTTTTAGAACGTCTTTATGAAACGTTGTTTGCCCGTTTCAAAAGAAGAACAATCACAGATAAAACGGTTAAACTATCGAAACGAACGTTATTCGGGGTTTTAAATATTGTAATGTACTGTATACTTGAACTTTAACCTGAATAACATCATTTTATTTGCGTCACTCGACAGTCGTGTGCAATAAAAGAACGGTGAAGACGTTGTGTGCGGGATATTGAAATAGCTTAGCGTTCGAATTGTAGTGATGTAGGTAATTTTTTTTTTTTCCTCCGTTAAATAACACGTTATTTTATTATAAAACCCGAAAATAATACGTCATACCATTTTTAGCGTTCGAAACGGTTTTTATTGTTATTTTATTTACCAACATGTTATATGCTATCTGTACAGGGATCGCATACGGAAATATTGTTGCCGTCACGTATATAGGTGGTTTAGAACCCGAACGACCCCGGTTGGTTCTGAACACTGTACAAATATTATATATACGGTCACGGCGCGTCTTAGCTTTTCGTTTCATTCGAGTCAATTTCGACCGCAAATCGAGATCACTATTGTTCGTGACGGGGGATCGTCAACGTAACGCTGCGCGCTGTTAGATTAATAACGTCATAGGTAGACAAGCGGTACCTACCCCTATTCAAGTAATGATCGAAAGTAAACGCGCGGCTCGAAAATAATCTCCGTTTCCGGTCCGTCCGCGATGCGACGTACGCATAACAACAACAACAACAATAATAATATTTAAAAAAAAAAAAAAAAATCTTTTCCTAATCCTAGGAGAAATTTTTTTTTTTCCGCCCGTAAGCGCTCCATTGTGCACGCGGTATAAATAAACCTCCGAGATCGCACGACGCGCATACGCGTTGACCGATTGTTTTTTTGTTGACCTTCGAGGTGTCCGGAGTCCGCAGTTACCTACGCACACCGCAGTGCGACGGCTTCCAATACACAATATAACGAAATATCATTATTATTATTATTATTATTATTGTAATACTGTAAAGCAGTATAATAATAAACTGAACCGTGTGCGATCGTTTTGCGGTTTCGCGCGGAACAATGGGGTGTCGAACGCGTATTCCTCCCGGTCGGCCGCCGTTGAATCGCGTATTCGATCGTCATAGACGCGCACAATGTTTGTCGCGCGTTCCTTTTTTTCCCAATACCACCGATGACGTATTTTAAAAAAAAAAAAAAATTGTTTTTTTTTTTTCGAAAAACAAACACACACACACACACACACACACACACACACACACGCAACTACGATCACATTTTTGTCAACTGGTTTTATGTACCTGAACGCGCTCGCAAGTTACGACGCCTTCACTTGTATGCGTTTGATCTCCTTCTTCAGCTGAACGTACGTCACCTCCAGCTTGCGTTTCTGGGCGGATATCTCGATCTCGGCCACCTTCTTCTTGAAACGGCTGTTCCTGGCCGCCTCGTTGTTCTTCTGCCTCATCTGATGATAGTAGTCGGTAGATTTCGACGTGCAGCCCGAAGACATCATTTCGTCTACGTTTGGGACGAAGAAGAGAGAATCACAAAACAGTTCACAAGATAATATATAGCGCGCGTAATATCGTCACGACATACATTTATATATATACAGGAGGGAGGGGGGGGGCACGATTTTACTTTCGCAACAATTTCCACTGTTATCGGTGTTACCGTAAATCAAACGTCCGCAACATGTCGTCGTGAGTCTCCGCAAAACGACCATGCGGGAACAACTTGCAAACGTGTGCCTACGTCGAAATGATAATTATTCGGGTTCTTCGAAAACGTCACGTCAAAGTCATCGTTGAAAACCCATTACCGATACGCCCGAACCGTAAATATATACATATGAGTACACTGAACTGTCCATGTGTTATGTGTGGTCAAAGCGAGTAGACATTTCCATGAACATGTGTTTGCGTGCATGTTAATTTGTACGTTATTTCGAGAATTTTTTCCTTTCGCATACCCACAAATATTTATTTGCTAGTCGTAATTAAAAACGAGAAATTTCATCGCGATATCGATACGAAAACAATACAGATCGAAACTGACTATTCGTAACTGTTTTACGAAAAAAAAAAAAAAAAAATTATATAATATTTTTCTCGTACATTTAAGCGTAGCGATTACAGTTTCGTTTTGTGAATTTATTGATGACAAATTTATTTGGCAAGTGACTCGAAAACTATGTATACACATTTGGGCCAAGGGAAATTACAAAGTGTACGGTAAGCGAGAACTTGCGTTTCGTTAAAAACAAAAGTATTATTACCAACTCTTGGGAGTGATACGGTTTTGAAGACCACTTCTTAAAGTACCTAATTTCATTCAAAATTCTCGTGAATGTAAACGCGATTTCGATGTATTCATAGTGTACGTTTATATTTGACAACATAATAACAAAACTATAATAGTAATAATAAAAGTAATAACAATCACAATGACAGCAATCAAGTTACAAGATTATAACAACCAAGGTCCGACACATTTTAATAAACACATGGAATTTGTTTTTACCTTAATTGCAAATTAAGCGCACTCGAACGTTTCGCAAAAACGCTACGGAGTGAAATAAATATTAACTTAAAAACTACTAATTGTTTGGCTACACTTGTAACATCACTACAGATCACTCATAACTACGTAACGATTAACTGTGTAGAACATAAAGTAATGCTTTTCTATTGAAATATATTACTACTTTATTATACATATAAAAAATTATTTATTTAATTATTGTGTTGAATTTGATTAGTGTTTGCGCGAGTTTTATAATTTAATTTTTTTTTTTTTATTAGAAATTTTAGTTAGAAATGAATAACATTACTCTCGAACATTTTGTCGCGCACTTAATTAATTGAACTATGTGTTTTAAGTTAAATATTATAAACATTTTTGTTCGAAATCGCGATGCTACGTTTTTTTTTTTTTTTTTTATGTTTTCCGTGATATTCGATTGTAACACATGGTTACGGCGAAGACAAACTATCTAATACGGGACGAGCAAGAACGCGCGCAAAGCAATTAGGAAATTAATTGAGAATCGATCTTACCTTATGGAAAACTGGTCTGAAGCGAACGTTTCAAAGTCGGCAAGGAAATATGGCGTTGAAGTCGTCTGGACGCGGTCGACGGGAGACGAGCGTATCGTAGGATCCTCAGCGGAGTGTTGCAGTTTTGACAATAAACCGTCAAGCAGCGATCGCTATTTATATGACCATCCGACACGAACGTAATTGAGCCTTTACCCCCGAAACCATCCCTTCCGCGCGGAGGAGCTCCACCCTTTCTCTGCAAACCAGAACAGGACGCGGGCCCTGCCCATATTTCCACGATGTGGGGGAACGTCATCGCGGAGACGATCATAATATACATTTGCTACGTCGACCTTTTTCTCTTTTTGCGACGTTCTCGGAAATTCCGCATTGATGCCGTCACAATCACACACACACACACACACACACACACACACACATGCATGTACGCTGCCCCGTGTGTTCGGTTGGACGACTTAATAACATTGACATTAATTCAACAATGACGGGCCTCCGTACAACGTATTATTATTCAGCAATACTGATGATAATCGCATGTGCATACGTGTTGTACACAGATATATATTTATTTTTTATTGTCACCAAATATTACCTACCTACTATGCCCAATGTACTGAAAAATTACGTGCTTATAGCCAAAGTGTGGACAAAGCGATAAACAGGTTTTAATAATTGAGTTACCAGTTAATGCGAGAACGTTAAGTTTTAAATAAATATTCGAAAAGAATAAATAAATAGATAAATAATCACCTTTGGATTCGCTATTCTGTATCATCTGGATAATTTTATCAATTTTTAAGTCACGATTGTGAAAAAAACGTTTAAAAACTGTAAACGGATTTACCGCTGCGTTTAAAAAACTTTTGGTAAATCTTTGAGTGCGTTTCGAAGCGTATCCCAACGGTACCGCTTACGGAAACGTTTGCAATGTTCAATACCGTTTTAAAACGAAATACAATAACGATGTGCGAAAAATTACTGCGGTAAAAATTACCGGGTGGTCTTGTTCAACAATAAACGTGTGATATACGTACAATATTGCGGTATTTTTTTTTTTTACACATTATTATGCACGAAAAAGAAATACTCGCGAGAGCGACACATACTGACTAGGTCGTTTTATTGGCACGAATTGTTATTTATTATCATTATTATTGTTTTCACCTGTTCGTTGATAATGATAATAATAATAACCGTCAGTGAATTATGAAGTAATCAAGTCCAATTAGAAACGAGCGTTCTCGACCGTTTCAAACCGTCCAGAGTGCCGATGTGTACGTATCGTTGTGACGGTCCTTCCTGTTTATTTTCAAAAAACGTCCGTTCACTTAATAATATAATTTATACCGTTAAAACCCGAAATACGTCAAAACTAGTTTCAAATAGTTAAACTACAGGATTGATCAGGAGTTCAATATTGTTACCAGTTCGAAGATACAGTTTTGTAACAAAATTAAATTTGAAAAAGTAAAAATTTTATTATTTGTTTTAACAAGGCAAACTATACTGGTATTTAAAGTTACATAATATACATATTTTTATTTTTACATAAGCCGTGATTTATTCCACATTACTTTTGAAGCAAGATATTTGGTCAATAGCATTTTATACCGTTGTTGGATACACTTTACGATAGTCGATATTTGATCGCCGGCCGGTCGTAGTTATCTTGATTTATGCATAGCAAACAAATTGTGTTGCAAATACGGAGTCGAGTTCGTTGTATTTTTTTCGGGTTACACGAAGTTGTGTCCGGCGGACATAATATACTAGTGTTAAAATTGAAGTCCTAGTTGATTCTAGTTTTAACTAGTCGAAATCGGTTTCGACGTAATTTATTCGTGAAAACTAGCTTTGGCGGATTTCGGATTTTAACTGTAATACTTGTGAATATACACATAATAATAATAATAATATTTAATAATAACCCGTAATTCGTATGCGTTTCCATATCATGTTGCGAAACGGCACTTGGCCCACGTCCACTCGAGTAAGCCGCCGCCGTCGTCGTAGATATGTGTACAGGGTGGGCCCGGCGGTCGGTGAAAAGTGAGGACTTGGTGCTGGAATATCGTTGAAATATTATTGATATTATTGATCTCGCCACACTCCTGGATCATGAAACGATCTAGGTGCACACTATATTACACAAACACGCCCTCGTACAACAGTTCTACCCGGTCGGAAGTAGAACGCGATTCGGAATAAAATAATTGTACACATGCCTAAATGTACGAACACTCGTAATTCATAAATCGCTATTGGGCTATGTTGACAAAATGATGTACATCATACGTGAATATAATTTTGTTTTCTCTCCACAAACTTATAATATTTAACTGTGCTTGTTTATACCCCGGATTCCGACCGTAATAATAATAACAACATCTGACAATGTCTGATCTGAAAATTTTGGAACACCAGTTGTGCTGCGTGTCTCGTTAATAATAATTGGCATCAGAGAACCCAGTGCACTAATTTATTCATCGAATGTAAGAAATTTAATTAATTTTGCGAAATATCGTTAAATATATTCATTGGATTTAGTCTTGGACGCTTATTTAAGCTGACATTATCATTCCGAGAAGAATAAAACATTTTAATTGGACACTGCACGCTGTTGCGTGTCATTTCGTTATATCATAATACAATATTATTATGAATGAAAAAATCCACCGCATTACGATACGGGACGTGTAATTGCCTGTAAAACTAATCTAAACGAATGATAATTTTTCGATGAACACTGAGTTCGTAGCATAAATAATCAAATGACCTTTACCGCCGTTGTTACGGAACCAATCGGCAATATGACACTGTATCGATAGCATTTAAATTAGATATTCCGGTTTGTTTGTTTAGACGGTAGGAAAACAAAATAGCGCCGTTATCGAGTTCATTATTGTATTTCAATCCTTCAATCGTACAAAGATTGTCAACCTTATTAATAATAGGCTTGTTAAAATATTAAATTTTATTGATAATATAGAATTCAACTTTAATCACTTGACGGAAATTATTTTTGTTTATTAGCTATCGAATCAATATATGGCCTGGAAAACTTCCCGAAGAGTGTTTAGTATGTTTTCAGTTTATTTTGGCAACATATAGACACACTTTTACGACACGTAGGTACGTGTCGCCACCCCACCCAATCAAAATATAGAGATTTTCTTTATGTCAGCATTTAGCAGCCAATTAGCAATAATTTGCAAGTACATTTTCACAATTTGCAAGGCTTTAGTTTTATCATAAAACGAAAAAAACCATGGGCGGGGTAAGAGACACGTGCAAATTTCGGAAACCTCTTTTTCGGACGAAATATTGGTTTGCAAATGTCTACGGATGACTTGCTAATCGTTGCTAATTGGCTGTTAAATGATGGCTAAAGAAAAATTTCAAAATTTATTTTTAATGAAATGGGTGGGGCCGGGAACACGTGTCTCCAGCCCCACCATTAGTTTTTTGGGTTTTATGATAAAACTAAAGCCGTGCAAATTGTGAAAACATTCTTGCAAGTTGTTGCTAATTGATTGCTAAATGCTGACATGAAGAAAATGTCAATATTTTGATTGGGTGAGGACACGTACGTTTTTACGACGTCTATAAAAATGGTAAATCGAGTGCTGTCGAAGAGATAATAATTTTTAATTTCGAGAAACCGATGAATGCGTGTAGTTTTTTCCATTCGTTTCGGTTAATCTTTTAAAAATTTTAAACATTATTATCTTTTTTATTGTAATCCCAGATTGAACTCGATTTCAATAAGAATATCGATGTGCTACACAAACGACTTAAATATAAGACCGATGAGCCTAATATTAAAAAACACTTCAAATTAATATAGGAAAAAATTCCGTTTCATTAAGCTTGTTCATTGTTTCAAATATTTATCTGCCGTCTTAAATCTCTGCCAGTTCCACTCGAAGTTTATGGTGAACCTAAACCTGCGGCTTTTATACGGGTACGAAATATTAAATAATGGTTTATTAGTAACAATTACTACCGTAGTATTGTCGGCTGCCATGCACGGCTAATATAATTTACCCGTGGACATAAACGAGGGCATAGTCACGTATTCAATTTTTATTCAATCCTTAGGTGTACGTTTGATAAGTGAACATACATCGCGCACACCCTCCGCGCAAAAGCACTGTGTCGCTATTATAAAAAAATCATAATACACTATCACCACTACTACGATTACTACTGCTCGTCTGTAATTTTGAAATTAGTTCAATTCGCTTTAAATGGTACTGCCGAAATCACAATGGCAGAAGTAATTGCAGAACAATCGACTTTACCGAGCCCTTTGATTAGCGCAATAAAATAGTTCTTTTGTCCTGTTTAAGTCAACGGCACAAATGTAGTACGCTCAATGTTAATTTGAAATATAAAAAGTTTACGGCTCAAGACATTCATTTAATATTTTTACAAAGGTCACTGGAAAGAGAAAAAATAGTTTGTCGAGTGTACAAAAGTGTACAAATTCGAACTGCAGTAAATACTCAAATACTCGTCAAAAAACAAAAAAAAACCATAAATGCTTAAAATATTGGATACAATCTTCTGAAAAAAGGATTTAAAAAAGCGTACATCCAACACTGACAAAAGTATTTCAATACTAGTAACTCAGCAATACTATACTTCTATTATAATTATTTAATATATTTCTGCGAGCACTAAATTCGTTATTTTATTTATTTGTAACATATTAGTCGTTATCGATCTAACAACGATTGTTATCTATTTGTTCACTATTTTGGCTCTTTACATAAGGTATTAAATAATATTAACTACCTATTTGTTAAATAATTGATAAGACTTAATAATTATCTAATTATTTATATAAAACAAAAATAATTTAATGAATACCTATTGAAACAATAATATAATAATAGAAAAACATTTAAGACCAGTGTTCAAATCGGAAACAAAATTAAGGAGGGACCCTGGTTTTAGTTAAAAAATTCGTTTAGAATGTATTTTTACTTGCAAAACATTTTGGATTCGAATTCAAACTCATATAATAAAATATCATATTAAAATAATTTAATATAAAGTCAAATTAAGTAAGCAATAAATGCCGAGCTCATACATAATTAAAAAATATCGCTTTAATCAAACTTAAAAATGATATAAAATTCGGATTTATTTTAAGTATTTTTATTATCATCTTCTTGTTTTCTCATCACTAAGATAGAACAGTACTTAAAATTTCTAATCTCCGAGGAGTCAATGTTCGGTAGAGACCGATTAATTTTTTTCAAAACATTTTATATATAAATCATGATTAATATATATTACAATCTGCAGTGGCGTAGCCAAAGGGGGGGGGGGCTAAGGGGGCTATAGCCTTCCCCATGGGCCGTG